TTTTAGTTTAAATGACATTAAAATTACTTTTTATCTGAGTTTATGAACTGAAAATCATATTTTATTCCTTCTACTGGGCAAGTACTTTCCTTCTTTAGAATGTTACTAAACATGCATAAAAGCTTGTAAAAATGGTCTTCTTTTGCTCTTGTAGGTATGACAGTAGTACTAAAGAAAACAAAAAACAAGGACTTCTTTATGATTGCTTTAGTCAAATTTCCAGTTCTATAACAAGTTGTCAACCAGTTTAAATTAAATTATATTTCATGCATTGTGTTACAGTTGTTTCTTTGTATGTCTCCACCTTCCCCAATCCCAGAGGCTTTCTTCTACAGTCTCAGCCCTGGACTTGTCTCATGTGGGGTGGATGTCCTGTACTCACCTGTTTCAATATTAAGATTTGAGTGTGTGACAGAGAGGAAGTTAAACACTCAGAAAGCCTCTTCTCTTTGCTGACAAACACACTGCTCCTTTCTATATAGCAGTGAAGCTCCAGAGCTTAACAGGCTGCTGGACTCCATTTCTCAAACCTGCATTCACCCAGAGGTGACACAAAATAATGCTACAAAGACACTTCTACTTTCCTCACCTGAGCAGGTTGTTTTGAAACAAAGTAAAGCCATAGCTAGCAGCAAAAACTCAGCAGAGGTCTAATCCACTTTCCCATAAAGAAATGACCCATTTTTCCTCAGAAATGAAGCATATTTTATATATCCATGTGGTTATATGGGCTAACTGCTTCAGTTACAGGTAACATATTCAATTACAAGAAGTTGAAAGTCCCAAACTTGGTTAGTGATTATTCTTTTCAAAGAGTATCTCTGACCCCCATAGCTGTTCATTGCAGTCATATATTTGTTCTTGACCTCCCATCAATTTTATCCCGATTTTATGGTGTATATATCCCATTAATGGCTCCAGTGCTTCTAAGTCACTCCAAATAATTTGGAAAATTAGTTCATTTGCTACTTCTGAGTCTAGTGAAGGAAACAGGCCAGTGCTTCTACCTTGAAGAGAAGATGAATACTTGTGGAGTGAACCCCTGATTGATAATAATGACAGTCACCTCTCTCATTTATATGGAGCCAAGAATATGTTAAGCATCAAAGCTATATTTTTCAAACTTATTTTCATATAGATACTTGCTAGGTAATAGGGCATATTTAAATGATGACAAGCATGTGGTTCAAAGGTGGGGTAAGGAAGAGAAGTGATTGACTCACTTTTCATTTTCTCGATCCCCAAGCTTGGTCAAATTCATCTGGGCTTCAGGCTAAGCCCCTGTCCTGTCTCCCTGCTCCACATGTCCATCTGCAAAAGGGGGCTAAGCAGAGGGAAGTCCCTCTTGGTAAGTCAGAATCTTCCTCATATAAAAGCTTCGTGAGTGTATCAGATATTTAAGCAAAACCTACCACAATCACTGCCAATAATTCAAATTTTCAAATCAAAAATTCAAAATTTTTGAAATAAATGATTTAGTGAACTTTTACAAAGAATTTTGGTTTTATTTGTTTCAAGAACAAGCACAATCATCACTTAGAGGAGGAGAGTGGCAATGTCCAGATTGCATGCCCTGTTTTAAAAAAATTAATTTGTTCACAACTGACAGTGCTTAGTTGAAATGGGTTTATTTTCTATGTACTAACTTCTGCTGCAGATGGTCTTTTCTTCAAACAAGGTCTCAGTCTCAATTATTTCAAAGTGTTACGGGTGGAATGTGTGTTAATGAATTATGTTGTTGAATGATAACTGCCACCATTTGTGAAAGAACAACATTTAGAAGAGCAATTCTCTTTCTCTGAGAAAGGCTGACAGAGTCTGGGTCATATAATGTATTCTGGTCTCAAGAAAAATAGCAACCAGAAACAGCAACCCTTCTTCCTTCAGGATGATTAAAGGTGAGCTGTAAGGGTGGGGGCAAGTGGTCTGGGAAGTGAGGCATAGCATCTAAACTTGCTGCCATAATTGGGGCCACCAGGTGATCTTCAATTTAAATGAATCAATGATCTTTTAGGAATTTTGCATTTGCTATGTGCTCCCCAATCCCATGCATTTACCTCTTTAAACTTCTGTCTCCATGGAATACTCAAGCAATTGTTGGAACAGCCATTTAGATGGCATGGACCATGTTCCTCACTTGTTTTTAACCCCACTTCATAGTGCAGTGATGAATACTGTCTATGAACATGAGCATGTTGTGTTCTGCCATATTTAACTTCAGAGTTTCTCTGAATTGTGCAGTCAGAATGGAAAGATCTCTTAGATATAAGCTCTGGACTCATGTATGAGCAGAGGGAGTTGACAACTGTATTATCATGAAGCATTTTCAAGAGCTCAGAGCTGTCCATAATCTTTAAGGATGCCCTGGACATTCTCACATGGGGAGTTGAAGTACACTCAGTTCTTTCCAGGGAAGGGAAATCTGCAGATGGAGGCTGGAGAAGAAAGCACACTTGGTGGGAATTGCCAAATTGGGTTGTCACTGGGCTAACACTTGCTCCCAATACTTAAGGTGCCCACTCCCCCCTCCATGAAATAAGAGGATTTAACCATTATGATGTCATCTTAAAATACTTTCATGTTCCAAGAAAACTCCATTGTTTCATGAAACCGTTTCTTGAAACTTCTAATTAGAAATGATGGCAAATATGCTGCAGCAGTCAAAAGGAAAGATGGCATATTAATCAGCTTTTTGTCTCTGGGTCTAAGTACCTGACGCCCACAACTTTAAAAAGAGACTTATTTGTTTTTATGCTTCTGTCCAAGGTCAGCTGGCTTCAGGGAAGAAACGTGACAGCAGAAGTTCATGATAAAAGAAAACTGCTCAAATTATATCCAGGAGGAGAGGGAGAGAGAGAGAGAGAGAGAAAGAGAGAGCACCCTGAGGACAGGATGTACTCTTCAGTGGCTTGGACTCAGTGGCCTCCCTCCTCTGACCAGGCCATCAATCCATTGATGAGATCAGTGCCCTCGAGATCCTGTCACCTCTTTAAGCCTCATTTTTTAACACTGCTACCCTGGAAATCCAAGCCCTCATTACAGGAGTCTTTGGAGGACACTTCTAATTGAAACTATAACAACGTGTTTTGTGATACGAGGCAAAGAAGGCCCCATTATCTGTAGGGTTGCTTAAATATCCTTCATGAGTGTGTGTTCATGAAGGCTGTTCCATCATCCACACTAATAATCCCAATGGGGACTTTCTGGGCAACTAACATGCTGCTATGCTCAAGGAAGTGTGAGGCATGGCACCACGGAACATGGCAACGCTAAAGACACACAGAAAGAATCACACGAGCTAGCAGGAAAGAAGTGACTCAGAGCTAGGGGTATAGCTCAGGGGCACAGCACCTGCCTGGCATGCATGAGGCCCTGAGTTTGATTCCCAGTACTAAAAAAAAGTGATTCAGAGCAATTCTAAGGTGGAAGCGAAGGAGGAAAGTGAAGAGGAAGAAAACTAGAACTCTTCTGTCTTCAGTTTGATTCACTTTCAAGGAAGGGCAGCGGTGTAACCATGGTTGTGATGAACAACTGACCTTCAGGAAAAGCCACCACTAGTGCCTGACATGTTCACGCCCAGTTAAAGAATGTAAAAAAATCATAATTCAGCTTTTTCATTTTCAAAATATTAACATTTCTTCAAACTATAGACTCACAGTTCCTGTGTATTGCAGGATGAATACATTTTAAAAGTATCACCCTTGAGATTCATTTCCCTGCTTATGTGCTTATTCTGAAGACATTGTGCAGAACTGTGTTTTCCAAATGTGATCACCTTAAATTCAGCCCTGAATTTCCCACTGCAAATGCAGGGCTGGGGGAGAACATCACTGCTTCCTAGGGAAGTGGACACAAACAGATTCATGGGAGAAACACAATTTCTGACATTGCTTTCAAAATCATATGTAAGAAAAACGAAATTAACCCCTTGAAAGGAAAGTAGTGCTGTTTCAAATATTGTTTTAAGGACAGTTTCTTCTAATATTGAATGTTTACAGTTGTGTAGTCAGGACCTTCAGTCATTTCTGCTATTCTTCACAAACTGCCCCTGAAGAGACAGTGTTAACAGAGAATTACATTATATACGTCAAATAGGTATGAAAAGGTATTTTAAATCACAACTGAACTATTTTTAGGAGTGAAAGAAAATTCTAAGAAGAAGACGTGGACACAGGAACATTGTGTGACACCATCTAAATTTTAGAATATGTATTATTATGATCACAAAGGTTCAGAAAAAACTGCAAACAAAATTTTGGTACAGCATTTATTTATTCTATATATTTTCTAAACCAGCAGCCAAATATAGATTCTTCATGGAATGCTTTAAAATTTTAATATTTCATTTCTTGGGAATAAAATAGTTTAATCTTTATAACATGTTCTACCTTTTTAAGTTTATATAAGTTTATTTTATTGTGCCACTATGTACCCTCAAAATTCAGTGAGATTTTTCAGCTTTTTGACCACTTGAAAAAATATGTACGTATATATTCTCTTTCCTTTTTAAGTGAGATCATGAATAGTGAAACACAGTTCTCAGTCCACAGAATGATATCCTGAGGTCAAACATCTTCTAGCTGTGTTCATAGTGATGGATTACTGGCACTTCATGCCAAGGAACCTTATTTTCTGCAAGAAAGAATGGAATAGGGTGTGCTGGAGAGAGTGAGGACAGTAGCTCAGTATGTCTGTCATGCACAGGACCTGGTGTCCACTCCCTGTGAGTGGAGGCCTGGATTGCCTTTACGAGGCACACACTCCCTCCATCCATGGACATATTTCTAAAAACTCCTCACTGCACCATCAGAAATCTCAGAGGTCCTGAGCTGGAACCCACTCCAGGAGCCCAAGGACCGGAAGCTCAGACCGACCGGATTGTGTTCTGAGATTTACCAAGGAGGCCGGGAGTCTTGCTCTGAGCTAACCTGGCCCTTCAGGGCACCTCGGCACACCGTGGGAGATGCACTTTGAGGCTCTGCAAAGAAAGATGCTACTAATTTTGTCCTAAAGGTCAGGATTTATTTCAATGCTCACATACAATTAAATGAGACAAACTATTTACATAAAACCTAAGTACAAAAAATATAATACAATTTATACTGTACATAATCCGGATTCTCTAACCCCCACCCCAATCTTTGCAGTTAGAGATGCAGGGGAGGGGAGAGAGGAGTTGCTACCAAAGGAGGACTGCTGCACTCTTGGCAGGGTTCGGGACAGTTCTTCAGGAATTTGTTTTAAAAAAGATAAACTGGGCTGAGATACAGAAGTCAGCATTCACCGTGGGCAGTGAGAAAGCAGGGCATTTTCACTGCTGTGGTGCTAGCTAGCTGTATCTCACAGATGTGTTTGTGTTCCCCAGAGCTGAGGCTGGGAGAAATGGGGTTGGTTTCCACCGGCTGGCTGGGTAACGCCCTCCTCGCCCTCTTTTCTGAACTACCATAATTGATCCAATGCAAGACAGAACAAGCTCCTTGCCTTAAACTGACTTCTGAGCATAGTGTGTCTGTCAGGGATCCTTACACAGCACTATGAGCCCAAAGTTACACAGCTCCAGTGGGAGCTGGAGACCAGTGAATTCACGGACAGAAAACAAAGAGAGGACCATGGGAAATTGCTGCTGCGCATGTCTGACAAGAAGACCTCGGAAGAGATCTTGACAACAAAATGTTAGGATTGAAAAAAAGTGTGGCGTGCCCAAGAGTCCCTTGAAAAAAATACTCAGCAACTCACGAGCATTGCAAGATCCACTGATATTCCACATTCTCATTCAAAGGTAGAAGACATGCCAAACTAGTTCATTCGTGGGAAAACTCTTCGATTATACAAAAGGATCGATTAAATTAAAATTAACTTTAAGATTAGTAACTGTTTCCAAGTCTACCAAGGGCTGAAATTGGTTTGGAAGAATTATCAGTGAAAAAAGTAAACAATCCCAAATAACTTTATTTTGTATCACAAAACAGGCAATAGCAAATGAACGCAGAATGAGGCGTAACATGTTTAAACTCAAGTCTAGTGGAATAACACACAGGTTTGAGGAATCTTACACTGGACCAAGCTTGTGTGTTTTCTTGGCAGGCAGAACTGATGTGGTGATCCCACATAGTCAGTCCCTATGTGCTTTCCTTCAAAGTGCAGGAGTTCAAGCCCAAGTTCAGCATGCAGCCATGGTGTGAGGGAAAAGCAATAGACTTTAGCAGAGAGAACACTGTTACCTTTTCAAAATGCAAACTGAGAGTTGGTAGCTATTGTAAATTTTGAAGCAGTTTTGACATTGAGTTCAAAAATAAAACAAATCAGACAATGATCTAAGTGGTTCTCACCCCACACTTCCCATTCCTGTTCTGGCCACTGGAAGCCTGGGTCTGGGCTTTCTGTGCCTACGGACTTGGCTGGGGAGGATCCGAGACACAGCTCTAACATGGACATACCACCCGGCGCTCCCATCACAATGGACACAGGTGCTCCTGGAAGACGCAAGACTTAGAGTGGTGTCAGTCTGTGTGAGCTTGCAGCCGGTGAACCTGAATTTTCAGCTAACCCCCCGCCACGGGAGTTAGGCCACATCTGAAGATGAAGGGCTTCTTGGCCTTTTCCTATTCCTGAGTTCAAAGCAGCCTGGCAAGGTGATTTTCTTTTAAGGGTATCCAATCAACTCTCTGCTTCTAAGTGGAACCAACAATATCCAGGTGTGACGATGAAACATCATCTGAAACAAGGCACTAACAACTTTTTACAAGAAAGTGAACTATCCGCACTTACAGAGAGGGCATCATTGTAGAAGCATAGTTCCCACCTTTCAGACGCCAGACTTGGCTCTCCACTTGGATGTGTCTAACATTTGAATCATTTGGCATTCAATTGTCGAAAAACTGAGAAAGAAGAGGATCATGTTTGAACTACTGGCCTCATATTTCTGACTAAATCCCAAGAGGTGGGATGGATTTTCCTGCCTAGTTTAAGAAATGCCATGGGTGCTTTTAGACTCTGCATTTCTCCTTCTAGAACTGGAGGTGTCATTGACTAGAAAGCTTCACTGTGTCTACACAGTAACCCTGCTGCTTAGGCAAGAGTTGATATCGAGTCTGATCATGGGATATAAGCTAGAGTGCTTTCTGCAGCAGAATTAATAAGCTCTTTCCCAAAATGTGGTCTTTAAAAAGGAGTGGCAGGCTCTGAAAGTAGTTGTCTTAAGCACACTGCATTGTGAACTATATTTTAAAAGCAAAAATGTCTCCATTCCTGATACTTCCATAATGCATACCAAATTTCTGATAATTCAATGTGAAACTGAATAAAACATTTTGATCCATCTGCTAAAAAATGTGAATAATGCATCTTAATATAAGTCCATAAAGAAGAGTCATTTTAGAAATTGCTGCCAATAATCCAACATCCCATCTCATTTTGCAACTTTCCAAAGAGAAAAGAGGTAAGTATTAAAGCAATACTTATTCTTTTATCAGGTTATCAAAGCAGACAACCTAAATGCCTTGGCTTAGTATTTGTAGCATTATGAAATATCTTTAAATCAATTTTAATTAATAACCACAACAGGAGAGAACAGCAGAAAAAAGTTCCACAATGTTTCCTGTGTTCCACATATTTTATCTTACATGGCAAAATACTGTGCATGGAATTTCCTTTTGTGCGTTTGTTTCTTAGGTGCAAATGAATATTACTTTGACTTTTTTGACTTTATACTCATTGCCCAGAATGGCTCAGAATGGCTTCTAGTATCTGACGGTAGAAAACTATAGCACAGATGAAATCTAGGACAGATGAAAATTAGTAACCAAATATTGACGATGTCGTGGCAACATAAATCTCCAATGACATCATGCAGTAAGAGTCAGGATGAATGGATGGCCTGGACATGGCCAATGCCACCTGTGAACTCCAGCAGGTATCATATCAAAAACAATGGCAGAATTTGTTCATGAGTTGATGTAAGGTTATTGTCTTGACAACTTCGTGAAAACTCATTGTTGGAGCCATGAGACACAGACACAACCCTGTCACTTGGAGAACTGGGGCTGATGCAGCTCCTTGTAGTGACTATCAGAACCTAAAGTCTTTGCCTAGCTGCTCCAGTGGGAATTCAGTGAAGATAGCCCCAAATACCACTCAAAACAAGAAAGCCCCACTGAAACGTAAAGGAAGCTTTAATGGTAAAAACAGTTGATGGCCACGGGACAAAGGTGACAAGGAAAGTGGCCAGTGTTGAGAAATATTTTATTTACTCTAAAATAAAAATAAATAAGCATGAAGATAGTTGTGAACCCAATGCTATCAAAGCTGCATTTAGACAAAATGCTTAGCTGAGTGCACGCTTGATGTATTTTAGGATAGTTTCCTGTGATATTCAACTACACTGCAATGTCAGGGACATGGCTTCTCCTTGGCTGAGAACTTATCCATACCTTTCTTTGAAGGCAAGCCCCATGAATTCTACAGAGATTCAGGTGGAAACATTCACTGGAAGAGCCTTCACCTCCCATGACTTTCATCCCCTTGCAGAGAAAGAAGAGATATGGACACTGTAGCTTAAAGCTCCTGCATCTGAGCAGTTGAGCTTGGAAGAGGCCAAGCAGCATAACAGAACTGTGCATGTGGTCAGTGTCTCACGAGGGACCATCCACAACACTTGCTAAGGAAAGACCTATCTCCCATTTTCTTTGCCATCTACTTATCTGACTGTTTGCCACATTTGCTTCTTTTCTTTCTAGCATCACCCATGAGTCAAAGGGAGCAGATCCCCAGTTCAGCCCAGAGCATGTGGACTGACCTTTCCCAAGGACAGAGGTGTTTTTTGGCAGGGACCCCCTCACATCCATCCACCATTTGTAATTCTCAGTTCCTGTGGAATCTTTGCCTATCCCTCCATGCACACAAGGAACCTATTCTTCCCTTAATATTAGTGCTAATTCCAAGCACAGTGTACATGATTAAGGTTACATCCCTACACCAGTTAGGAAGTTCAATGCCTCCTTTAAGCTTTAGAGGGAGGAGGAATAGAAATGCATCTTGGGGAAGTTTTGAAGGAAATGCCTGGGGGTCTGGTGACAGTGGCTCCTGTGTAGCTGAGCCTCACCCAGCACGAAAGCTCCTCAGCACTCACTGAGTTCACATCACTGAGAGACAATGAAGCCCACAGTTTTACCAAAGCCCCCCGATATTTAGGGAGGACCCATTGTGCCTCATGCAGGAATTCTGCTATTCCATCTGTCCGCAGTGTCAGTGTACTATAGGATTCGTGGTGACCAGTGTACACCAGAGGAAGGACTCTGATCAATGTGGGGCCTTACTTTCAAAGAATTTAAATGTGTGATTGAAGCCACCTTCCTAATGAAAATCAGCCATAGTTCAACCATACCCAGACATAGTCCTAGAAATTAAATTGTGCTTATTTGACAATAGGGTCAAACATGTGCAGCTTAAAAATGTAAGTCTCTACTTGTGCCGCATGAACACAAAAAGGAGGAAGGAAAGAAGAAGGAAGGAAGGAAGGGAGAGAGGGAGGGAGGAGAAATAAAATGCAAATGTCTGTCAGGAATTTCAATTTGGATGCACAGGTTTCAGCAGGAATCCTAGACCCAAAGTTCCAGCCAGCAGAAGAGCGGCTCTGTGGAGGGGGCAGCTCTGCGGATGGCAGGCACCACGTGGGCCACATGCAAGGCTCAGGCCCGGAGAGCTCTGGCGGTGACAGTGCACAGTGCCACAAGCAACAGCAGCACAGGAAAGGGAAGCCAGGGATTGTTCGGCAGATAGGTGGATCACTTAAAATGCAGCTCAATTATTCTGAACCAAGCGCTCTCCTGTTACGAGAGAGGAGGGGAAGTGCAATTTTCCTTTGAACAGAGTATCGGGGAGCAAAATGTGGGGCTGCTTTTTGTGCAGAGTTCATCTGGAAGGTTTGCATCAGCCGCAACAGGAGAATCTGGGGTGAAGGGAGAGTGGTTTTCCTGATCACTGCATGATTGCTTACAGCCAGCTGGGGTGCCATCGGGAAAGTATTTCACATCAACTTTAGTGACAAGTTCATAAAATATTAGTAGCCTCCTTCTTAGGGGAGATAAAATGATCTTTTAAGCTTAGAAAATATTTAGGAGAGGGCAATTTAAAGAAAAAAGTTAAGATGTGCTATCCAGTGAGGATTTTTTTCTTAAAGAGATGAGTCAAAGCGTCCAGTGAAAATCCAACCTGGAAGCAATCAGGAAACCTTCTGCTTTGCTTCCTCTACTGAGTGAATGCTGGGCAGGTGCAGACAACACAGGACACTTACACCATGTGCACGAGGTGCATGAAATGCCCAGAGGTGCCTGAACAGTCCCTGTCCTTCCCTTTGCACTAACAGCTCGCAAGAGCCCAAGCATCAGACCCACAGAACTGTGAACAGAGAGCCTGCTCCTAACCCAGGTATTTTAGGATATTTAGAACTCAGCTATACTCATCATCAGTCATGAGATCTTCCTGACATTCTCTGAGACCGCTGTTCTAAGTGGGATAAGACAGAAATGCAAAAGTGAATAACTGTGTTCCTCACTACCTGTACTGTACATTTTCACAAATCCGAAGGTTCATTTATCAATAAGTACATGTATCAATATCAGCTCGGGCCTTTCTTATAATGGCCAGAGGCAGCAGATGACCTGTTTTCATTTTGTTCTTACTTTTAAAAATTATTCCACCCACTGCCACACGCTATCTGGATCCATGTTCGTGAGTAATTTATCTTTCTCACCTCTGGAGACTTCCAGGGATGGCCTTAGGATGCCCTGAAATGCTAATCCACAATGGAGACCAAGGCCACATGGATGGTCAGAGCCCTTCCTCCCAGTCCTTCCTCCGGCCCGACTACCCAGGTGCCCCTGTGCCACCCTTGCCTCAGTGCAGGGAGAGGTGGGGTTGTGGACAGGTGGACAGGGAGACAGCACTGAGGTCCAGAAAGCCAGCTTTACACATCATTCTTGCTTGGGGCCAGATGCCATGTGTTAGTTTTATCCAGGAGGTGGAAAACAAAAGGAAGCTCATCATTAAGCATCAGTTCTTCCAATACTCTGAGTAATATGGGACATTTAAAAAAATTATTTTCAGTTTTAAATCCATACTTTCAATACTTTCCCTAATTGGCAATATCAAGGTTCAAGACTTTTTTGTGCAGGGAGAGGTGGGGTGGAGTCATCAGCCTGCTGATCAGTGGTTATTCTACCGGCTGCTCTGTGGGACCGTCCTGTGGACCAGACAGGCGGGCTCGGGCCAACAGGAAACCTGGAAATTGGAGTGAAGGTGGCCTTGTAGTGAGTTGCAGAGTGCTGTCCCATGGCCCTGGGTCTGCGCTTCTGCTCCGCACGCTCATTCCACAGCGGAGCACAGTCTCGTCTGGGCCTCCGGACCTGGAGGGGCCTCAGCTGACCGTCACCTGGGCAGGTGCAGGGGAGGTGGGATCCCTGGGCTTCCCGGGCAGCAGGAAGCGTTCCAGGTCCGCACATGGGTGCTTCTGAGAATCCGCAGTATTTTCCAGACTGGAGAAGGTGGGAGGTCATGGTGAATACCTGTTAGGCCAAATTCATTTTCTTCATTTTATCAAATAATACGGGCCTCATGGATAGAGGGGCCTCTCAGATAAGGTGCTTATTTTCTTGAATTAAAACATCATGAAGATCTATGCTCAAAATGAAGAAGACATTTGCATTTCTAAGACTCCTTCCAACATGAGTGGCACATATGTAAAAGAAAGCTCATGGGACAATGGACTCGTTAGAGAAATAGGCTGAACACAGTAAAAAACTTCACACCATGGATCATTTAACAATGATCAAGTGTGTGCTGTAGACCAGATTTTCATGATGTCATATTTAGTTTTTTGTTGCTTTTAAGGGTGTGTATTTTTGGCAGCAATGGAGCACTCTTGGCTTGAAATGCACTTGAAATCGACCCAGACTTCCACCCAGAAGCCTCAGAAACATGGAAGTCGTGGAGCACAGGCTTTGCAGAACTGAGGATTTACAAGAAGCCAAAAATATAAGAGCTATTAGTACTCATCATAATTATTGAGATCTGTAAAGTAGGCATTAGAATAGGTCTTTCCAGTGAGATGTGGGTTGAAGTATTTGTTTCTTTCTTCGAGAATCAGGTTGTTTTTGTTAAATGCCTGTAAAATATATATAGAGAGAAAAGATGTAAGAATATTCAGGAAGTAATATTCTAGCATGAATATAATCAGGAGCCTATGATGTTGAATTTCAGGTCTCTCCTACTGACCCAGTATTTTCTCACTTGTTGGCTTCCTCAGATTATTTGCCTCATGGAAGACTTGACTAATAACTAGAATGAGGTTAGGTGTCTTCCGTATATTTGGTTCTCCTTTGAACTTTAGTGAAGAAGTAACCAAAAGAAGCAGGGTGTCAGAAAACCTAAATTGAACCTTCTAGAAAAACTTGAATGATTTTCAGTTAATAGACACTTTAAATATTACCACATAAATCAAGAATATATTTAAGTAGCTTTCAGATTTCAGTGGATAAGTATGTTTACCAGTGATCTTGGCTTATTTAGGTAAACACTTCAGATTCAAAGGCCTTGATTTCTATTCACTCTGCACTTAGTATGCCGAGTGGCCTCCTCTGACCAAGGCCCTTCAGTAGTCATTAAAGTCACCTGTGATTTCAAAGAAGTTAACCATGCCTAGGAGAGGGTACATAAAGACAAAATAAAGACGAAGCTGAGTAGGCAGAGACCAATTGTTCAGGACTGGTCTGGGCGAGGTTCGGGTGAAAATTCTAGGATTCATTAAAGCCCAGGCAGCCATCCATGTACTCAGTGTCCACTGCCTTCATGGCAGTGCCATTTCTGACCACTGTAAAAGCAGATACTGGATGGTATCGGGAACAGAGACTGGCTGAATTGCACAGACCCGTCAGTGCACAGGAATCGTGCTCAGAGGAGCCCCTTGGGTTCTGCGAGTTGGTCTGGAAGCTCCCTGCTCATGGGAGGAGCTCCTGTTCCTCCTTGCACTCTAGGAGACCATTTCTGGGGGCTCTAAGGGCCTGCTCTTACTCCTGGTGCTCATCCCTGGGCCCAGCGCCTGACTGTGGCCAGTGCTGATGGATTCTGTATCTCGGCCCAGGCAGGGTTCATGGGGCACGGGGCACGGTCAGCTGGCTGCATGTCTGCTGAGGTAATGGAGAAAGGCAGTCATGGGACAGGGAGGCATCGGGTGGGACAGTGAGGCTCTGGGACCACCTGAAGCTGTAGGAGCCGATGACACTCCACATTTTCACACAGGAAGGAATCTGATTTTGTAGGAATCCATGAGAACAGAGGGGAGCCATCCAAACTCTCCCCAACAGTGTTGAAGGAAAGCGCCAACTTAAGAAGGATATGAGACTCTAGTCCGACTTAGCTCGGGGAAGGTCCTTCATCTAAGTGGGTCACAAGGCAGGCCGGGGAAGCAGACAAGGACCCTTGTCTTTCTGGCTACACAACTGATCCGATGCCCCTCACAAACACAAGGACAGCAGTTACCATCTGCTGGATGCTGAGGCCTGTCACTGAAACCTCCCAACAAAATGCGAGTATGTATTGTTATACCCATTTCAAAGAGGAAGACCCTGAGGGGCAAAGAAGCTCAATAGACTTGGATACCTGATTACCACAGTGTGGCCCTCATCGCTGCTGCCCTGTACACGTTCTCAGTGGGGGAGCTCTTCTCATTGCATGACCTCTCTTCAAATGCACAAAGCACAAATGGGGCTGAGCGTTTACTCATTGCTGACTTCATGTGTCTTTTGTAACTATATTCCCAGTGGGAGATGCCATCTTAGCATGGGCAAAGCAAAGCTAAAAAGGCAGTTCACTGTCAAGGGGCTTTCTTCCCACATCACCTACTGTGTCACTAGGGCTCCCACCACTGGCCTTTGCTAACACCCCCAGGGTCCACTGACCTTGGCACATCTGGCTGCAGCTGTCATTGCTGATTCCTTACCTTGATGGCCTCCACTGAGTCGTACTTGTCCAGTTTGTTGATGTGGTTGGTTATGCTGGTGTTGAGAGGGGCAGGAGACACTGGGTGGATGACAGTTGCGTCATGGGATTGCTGCTGGTAGCGCTGGCAGTAGGTGTAGACAAGCAGGGTGAGGAGGCAGCCGAGGATGGAGCTGCTCAGGCCCACAGCGATCATGTGGAACATGTTGAACTCTGGAAGACAAAGCAACGGCATGCCATGCTTGAAAAGACCAAACAACTGAACTGCTCAGAACGTTCAGGTGAAAACAGAAAGAGAAAAGGCAAAAGAGACACAGGTTGGCCCGTGGGGTTTCTCGGGAACAGTGTATGCTTACTCCTTCATGGGCATCCGCCATGGCATGTTCACAGCCTGAGGGAGGTGTCCGATCCCTACATACCTGCAAGCCACTCTGACTTCCCCTATTCCCTTATTATACTTCATTTTATTTAAAAAATGTTTCCATTTACATGAATTCTCATGTATTCCATTATATTTTTGAATATGAATATACACACATTATACAATATTAGAAACTTGCAAAGGCTCTCAAGGAAAACTATGTCTGCCTTCTTTCCTAAAGGTAACTATTGTAACTACGTCTTCAGGGTGCTTCCAGAGATCTCTGCACACATCTGTGTTTTGTGCACATGTGTCGATAGAATCCTGTGGACTACTTTTCCATGTGTGTTGTATTCTGATGGTCTTATCAGGAAAATGGTTTACTCCAAAGAATAAAGGATTTGTGCTAAAGGAACAAAATATGGTCTTTTAAGAGGCCCTGTGGTAACTCTTTTGTGACCTATTGTTTTTCCATTCAGTAAGCACCTCTTCATTTGCGTGCCTTTCCTTGAGGTAGGAGTATAAACATTCAAAAGGTGAGCTGGTGTGGACTCACATCACTGAAACAGGAGAGGTCTGAGTGACACAAGGCCTACATGATGCCCAAGATGCAACAATACAAGTGCAGGCATCCACTGTGAGTTTGGAAAACACCACTGTCAAAGTGTCAAGCCTTTCTGGGAGCAAAGGTGACATCTCAGTTACAGAGCTGGGGCTGGAGAGAGTCACGTAAGACAGAACAGGACCTTCCTTCCTTCCGTCCTTCTGCACTGCACTGCACTGGACTGCACTGCACTGCACTGCACCGTGTGCCTAACCACCCGTGGGTTATAAGGCTCCTGTCTCCCCTACTCAGAGCACACCCCAAGGACACCGACTTTTCCCCAGGTGTCTCCTCTATGCGTCATAGTGGTGCCTCCCACCTGGTGTCCTTCTGTGATCTGTCAAACCTGGACCCGTGGAACCATGAGGAAGCCCAGACTGGCCTGTCTGGCTGCAGGAGAAGGCCTTGGGCTCTGGCGGCAACATGAACTCCAGGTCTACCCCAGCTCTGTTTGCACCTTAGCCCCTGGCCTCCTGCCTAGGGATCACAGAGCTTCCTCCCCACGCCCCGTGACCCAGGTGCTACTGCCCGTGCTCACTGCTCGGAAGGGTTCCATTCCAGCGGAGCAGGCTCAGAGCTGACACATGGTATCAAGGAATCACCTGGTGTTCACCAGGGGACACCAGGGGGCAAGTTTCAGCGGGTCACCAGGACTCTCTCACTGAGTCCTTCCTGGTCTTTATGGAGGCCCAGGGTGGGGATAGCACTAGGGCAGAGCTGAGCCTCAGGATGGGAGGGGCCCTCAGGAGCTCCCCGAAATACGTGGTATTAGAAGTTCAGTACCCCTCATCTGCCCCTGAACCTCAGCTTCCCCTACACTGTGCTCCTCTGCTCCTGGACACCACGTTCCAGAGACCCTGAGAGATGCACCTGTTGCCTGAGGTGGAAGGATGCAGTGACCCAAGGCTGCTTCCTCTTGCATCAGGGTCAACCCAGCCAGCGTCCAGCTGCTAGATTCCCTGGAATTCCAGACTCCAGCGAAGCTCCTGACGCAGGAGTTTGCTCTTCAGCGCTGACGGTTGGACAGTCCAGGCAGGCAGCACTGGAGCTTTCTGCAACTGCCCCATCCCAGACAGCCGCCTCAGGTTTCCCTGCCTGGCCCACCTGGCCAATGACCACGGAAGACTTTGCACACCTTGGCCTTCCCTGGTTTTGTCTCAGAGCCTGAGAGAGTTGGATGAAGCATCTGGGGGCTGTTCCACCAACAACCACAGAATCTTCCTGAACCCCGGACTTGTCCTTAAGATAAGTAAATGCAGGATCGCACGGCTCCCATTGCTCTGTATTCCAGCTGCTAGGACTCTCTGGGGTCAGTGTCACATACAGATAAAAATATTTCCTGCCGCACCGATAGCTCGTATTTCACTGTAACACACAGAAGATGTATGATGACCTCTGCATGCAGATACTTTGTCATTAGTCAAATGAATTGATCCTGCAGGTGCCTCAGGAAGGCTGAGGCCACTGACATCTTCATGAGGATTATGGAGTCTTTGTGTCTCATTCAACTAAAAATAGCTAAGTTGAAAAATCTCAATAAGAGCACATTTTCCACAGAGGGGAAAAGAGTGCCTGTTAAACCTCTTTGGAGACTGTTTAGTCTGGCTCTTTCCTTTGAAAATGTGTCTTTCTTTGCTGTTATTTTTAAATTTACTTTTGGTCAATAAAGCTGGAATACAGACCAACTACCAGTTGGTTTAACTGTGCAAAGTTTGATTGCTTTGTCAGGGAAAAGACATTTGTAGCGTCTTCCTAAATATCCCCAGACACGCTTGCTAGGGGACAGTTTTCCCCAATGAGCCCTACTCTATGGGCTGGGGCTACTCAGGTGTCCAGTGTAAGTAAGCTCAGTGCCTCACAGAGCTGATAACAGATTACTGAATGAGAGGGTGGGTGGATCAACAGGTGTCTGACTAAACAGAGAGATTGCACCACAGTGAGGAGCGAGGCAATGCAGTTCACAATGGTAAGTCCATAGTCCATTCCTAAAATATGCTTGGGAAGCTCTCAAATCTATGATGGTATAAACAGACCAAAACCTGTCGTGCCGAGCTCTCTGGATCACCCTGGTGGGATGGATTATGGTAGGAATGAGCATGTAAATGTTGTCAGCCACAGATGTGAAAATGAACATCTTAGTATGGACATTAGTTCAAATAATTAGAGGTGGATATGGTCACTGGATTTAGAGATTGGACAGCCAGCCCTTCCATTCAGACATGTTCAAAGTCCACATTTAGCGTAGCCTTGAACCAAGGAATGCAGCCTTTTGACATTCATTGTAGAAAGTTTGAAAAATCCCTCGGGTGACACAGGTATCATCTTATGTCCCATTACAAGACAGTCATTCCTGTTATCTGGAGATTTGAGAGTGGCTGCCATGGGTTTGCATGAAAATGTAAATAACTGCTTGGATTCAGTCTTATGCCTGGAAGATCTACCTGTGGCTTGCATCACTGTCTCTGATTCACAAGGTTTGTGTCCATCAGCAGCTCCTGCAGAGTTCACTAAAAACAGACTGCTGGACCCCACGAGCAAGACACTGGTTCAGTCAGTGGAGTTGGGGCCTGGAGATCTGCATTTCCATCCAGTCCCCAGGGGATGCTGAGGATGCTGACCTGGAGACCCCACCATGAGAACCCCTGACCCACAGGTTAAATATTAACTATTACCATTATACACAGGTACACGATTGGGGGATCCATGAGTTTCCCCACTGGGTCAAGAGCGAAACACAGAAAACATGTAGGGATAGGGATGAGAAATGATTAGAAGTATTAGGACACCTAAGAGAAATTAGTTAAAAGGAAAAACTTACCTCCACACCTTTTCTCTTCTACACTACTGGATCTTGCCACGGATACTTCTGGAAGAACAAAACTCCAATCACAATGCATAAAAGGTGGCAGGAAGGACATTCATATTAATGTTGCATTTACAAAACGTCTAATGATTTTGAATCTAATTCGCATCTCAGTTCCCAAACCTTGATTAATTATAAAGAGTGTATTTATTTCTTGTTTTAATCAATCTGAGGCTTGTTTTAATCAACCTCTGGTACGAAAGGAGACTCACTAGGACAGAAAGAAAGTGCTTCAGCCCCTTAGGCTGAAACCAGGGCTCTGCTGACTTCCTGTTAAAAGGCAGTGTTTCCGGTACACCTGCCAGCTGCAGGTTCCCCACAGTGTTCGCATGAATATTTTGTCTCAACACAGCCAGTGTTGTCACATTCTCTTTGGGGGAAACAATTTACCAGAACTCAACAAAATCACCTTAACAACTAAGGTGACTTAAAAACTAAGTTATTCTTCAGGAGTTCATGACCTTTTTCCTGACATGCGCGAACTCCACAAGCGAGAGACCCCAGAAGAGGTCAGGTCTTCTAAGTGTTTTAAACCCTGAGAAAAAAATATCCTTTCAGGAGTCTGGAGATGCCACTGCCTTCTGTATTGATTTTTCATATTAAATATGTCCCTGTGGTTAAACTAACAAAGTCTTTCTTACACATTTTGGAGTGTGATCAACAACTATAGTGAATGTTTACATTTTAAAAAATTACAGTAAAAAATACATTTCCATAATCCCCCTTAAAACCAGCTTTCCTCAAACATGCTCATCCCATCATTCTTGCCACTTTCTGCAGCAGTTTCCAGAGTTCTCTTCCTTGAGTGTCCTTTAGCTGCACTGGGATGGCTGCTTCAATCTCCTGAACTGATTCAAAATGCTTCCCTTTTAGGATCATTTTGACTTTCTGGAAAAGCCAAGAGTCACACAGGGCTGAATTCCATGAACAAGGTGGATGAGGACACACTGTAATGGTTTCATGAGCCTTCCTTTTCATGGGATTAAGCTGCAGTATCCACTGTATTTTTGCTCATAACTTATAAAAACACTCATAAAAGAGAACTTCCAGAACTGCTTCAGAAAGTGGCAAGAAGAATGGAACAAGAGTGCTGCAAGTGAAGGAAAATACTGTGATTAATAATGTGTAAGAAATTTTATTACAATAACATTTTTCTAATTTGAATATTCAGTATGCCTTTTGATTACATCTCATAATGCTGTCCATAATTAAAGTGCCTTGTGAGGCTAAGGCTAATAATTTTCCCTATGATATTATCTTTCCCACAAATGGAGGAGCTCAAAGAAAATCTGGTTTGTAGAACTGAACCCTAATTGTAATAGATGGTCTTTGCTTTGATTTGCAACATAGTCTACCTTTGCACATAGGTTATACACTAGATGGTTTCTACGCGTACAGTGCACTGTGCCTAAAGTGAGAATACAATGGGTGACGTCACTTACAAGAACTAAATTCTGATCTCACAGTGCAAAGGGGGCTGGCAAGAAGACCCACCAGCCTCTCCTCCAGGGCGAGAACAACGGTGAGCACTCATTTCCCCAGGATAGTAAGGGTTGCTTAAACAAAAGGAATTGTTTTCTCTGTGCACATGCTTGCACACACACACACACACACAAACACACACACACACACACAGGGGGAGGGAGAGAGAGAAACACTGGCAAAGTATTTAACCCAGTATTAAAATAACCAAGTAGCCTGTTTTTGGAAGCAAAATCTTCTGAATATGTTAGAATCAAACATTTACAGACAACATTGTGCTCAAGAACTTTTACATTCATAAACTGCATTCTAGCCTAAATCTACAGCTATCTTTACAGCTGCATTTAAGTCATCTTAAAACTGGAAAGTTTGGTAGGATCACTTCTGTTTCACCAAATACATGGGGCAGACACAGCTCTGATTTCTGACCCGTTTTCTCTCTAAAGCTGGAAGGATTCTGTCCATGCTGCACCCATCCCTTACCTGGGATGAAGTTAGAGTCGAGAGCGCACGGCCGGCTCTCGGTGTTGTTCCCGGAGCACTGGCTGCCCACCGGGAAGGGAAGGATGCACTGGCGGGTGCGGAACTGGACGCCAGCTGGGTCGCACCCAGACCAGTCGGACCACTCAGACCAGCTCTCTGCAGGACCGGGAGGAGAGAGAGACAGGGTTACCACTGAGATCCAACAGCACACGGCCACAGCCAAGCAACGCATATCATCCCAGGCTCCCACATTACGTGGCCATAGTGCCTTTAAAATAAAGTTTCTAAATCCCACATTACTTTATGCAGTTGCAGGCACACAGTCACTAAGCTAAGCCGTGAGACCGAACTATCCCCAAACTGCCAGTGCGGGGCACACAAGTGACTGATGCGACATCTCTACCGGACAGTGCTGCACTACAAAGGGCAGCCCTCGGGCACCTTCCTGCACAACCACTGAGCATGCTCCACGGGGCCCATGCCCGGGTGAGAGGGGCAACCGTGCTCCCAGGGTTTCCTGAAGGCTGAACTGGAGCTGAAAGCCCTTTATCTCTGTTGTGGAAACAGTTGTGCAGAATCCAAGAGGATTTGTGGAAACAGTTTTGCATATCCCAGAGGTAGAATCCATCCGGGGCTACTGAGGCTCATAAGGACAATTCCCATGTCTTGGGTCCAGGACAGAAGTTGAGGGAAGGAAGGACACTTTGCCCTCAGTGGAAGATGTGCTGGGGCCTGTGCAGTTCACCCAGGTGCGTACAGGTGTGCGATAAGACAGGATCAGCATTCATATTCATGTAAGCAGCTCAAAAGATAAACCTTTACTGTTTATGGGCTGCTAATCAATACAAAATGACATTTTTTTCTATTCAGTTTGGAAGGAAACTTTGGAATTTTAACGTATGCTTTGACCCAGGTAAAAGAAATGTGGAATGCCCATGAGATTCTGGTTTCTAGGCCCTATTCAATATCATTGGCACCAGGATGATCTTTCTAGAAAGATCTGCAGGGCAAGCTAATAAACTATGAGTGTTTCGATGTCAGTGTCACACCCAGAGAATCCGTGCAGGTCCGAACACCAAGCTCCCTTTGAGTGCATGTGGAGGATGGGGAGTTCTCCCCAGCGTCTCCACGGATGCTGCACCCAGGGGTGAGGCAGCACCGGAATTCTGACTCCCAGAGTCCTCAGGCAGCTTCAAGGGTCTTCTGTTGCCGGCCTGGAGATTCAACAGCAAAGTTTAGATCCCGTTGCCGGGTAACACATTTTGAGCGAGTCTTGTTATAACCAGTCTCTGGTCTTGCGTGGCCTCGGTCCTCTCCCTACGATTTGACTTCATGTTGTATGATCTCTCTAGTCTTCCGACCACCAAGCATGCCTGCTTGCTGTCTCCCTGTCACCACGGAGAACGCGCCCAGAACACTGCTCTGTGGATCCTCTGAAGACTCGAGGGTGGGGGTGAAAACACAGAGCTATGGGCAGCTCCCCCGGCTCATCCTCCCAGACTCCTGTGGGAGCTCTACAATTACTGCTCACCATTTCTTTCCTGCAACTCTCTGTCTCCCTTAAGGTGCTGCCTATGAATCATTAGCAAACTCAAGGTCAGATTGGCACGCATTTCCTAAATAGTTTGGGTTTTAGGAGAACTTGTGCGCATTATCTCGTGGAGGTGCTAAAGGCAAAGTGAAAGTTACTTTACTATGGAACAACATGTTATGAAGTCACAGTAAGGGTAACTGTGTGGGGCTGCTCTGTCCCCCTTTCTGGTCCCACTGTGACTCGGTATCATCAGCTTCACACTCAGATGTCATGGAAAGAGGTGGCTTCCCACAGTCATGGGGAGGCACCTGGTGCTCACCTGGGCAGGGCTGTGTGTTACACAGGGCCTCTTCAGTGTGCAGCCCCAGGCAGATGTCCCCTCCGTAGGCCGGGGCGGGGTTTGTGCAGGAGCGTGTCCTCATGTAGTGTCCGCCACCACATGTTGCCGAGCACTGTGACCAGGACGACCAGCATGACCACGCACCGTCCACTAGGAAGGAAAAAAAGTCACCCTCTGAAACCCAAAGTTGAGCAACCGACATAGCTCCAGGTAGAACCTGAAGGGCCAGGCACATTAGTGGGCACCATGACGGCTCCTGTTCACTTGCTGGGTTCAGGGCTCAAGAACCTCCTCTCACTCACAGAGCTCAGGCTGGATAGTCTTCCCTACACTTTTTCAGTTCTCTTCATGCGTTCTTTTAGAAACTATTTCTAGACATATATCTAAGCCTGAGGATGACAAAGGAGTGAAATGGGTGGAATAAAAAATTCCAGATCCCGAGACGGACCATGAGGCATACTGTGAGCTAATTCATGTGAACCCTTAGCTACTCCTCACTTTTGATATCTGAATCGGGGACTTGGCCAGACAAGACTTAAAGCCAAGGATCAGTGGTTCAAGCCACAGCTTTTCTTACTAACTAGATTGCAATTTCCTCTTTAACAGTTTAGTAGAGAAGAGCTGACAGTCCCACTACGAAGGCAACTGTGAAGGCTGCCTCCTAAATTTAGGCATTAAATAACCACAGCAAGTGTAACCACACAGACTTCAAATAGCTGAGGGGAGGAATCCAAACGTCTGCAGCCAGACTCTGGCCGGATGTTACACACGCAGCCCCACAGGTGAATGTTGGCCAGCCCTGGTTTCCTGACCTAACCTTTCCACTTGAAGCACAGAGGGCCTCTCTGGCTGCTTACATCATCTCTGATGTCCGAGAACAGTGTCCTGAATTCTGGAGCCTGCCAGTCCTGCTGGGTCTGGGGACCCCAGTCCTGAGACAGGTGACATTGCTGCAGCTGAGACCTACCGTTGGCCTGGGTGTGTGGCCATGTCAGGCATGACCTGCTGTGTGGTCAGCTCCCAACTGAGGCTCCTCTGAGTAACCAACCACACTCTGTTTGACTTTGTCAAAGAAGCATAAACACCCTAGGGGCAGTGCAAAAGACCGTCGTAGCCAGGGCTAACCAAATTAAAAACCTGATGGGAGGAACTCAGCAGCACTATGTATACAGTTGTTATCATATTTGATTTTCTCTGTGTCCTACATAAACAGAGGCAACCACACCCAGATTGTCATAATAATTCAAGCCACTAGGTTGTTTGGGCTAGAATGACTTTAATTATATTTTATTACACCCATAGTCATATACTACATCTTACTGAAGTAATATGTATCTTTAGCTATAGGCATAGGTAAAAATAAAACATTGTTGAGCCAAGCGAGGTGGCACACGCCTATAATTCCAGCACTTGGGAGGCTGGGGCAGGAGGATCACCACCAGTTTGAGGCCAGCCCGGGCTACATAGTGAGTTCAAGAAAAATAATTAAAAAAAAAGGTTTTTCGAGGATCATGTCATCTTCAGGGTGACATTTTAATAAGTAAAAATAAAACAAAAACATTTGAACCCAATTAAAAACAAGCTGGCAATCTAACTGGAAATTTTGTGACTTAATAGTTTATACAAATTTGCAGAATTTAACATTTTCCCTAATAGTTAATAAGGTGTATGAGAAAGGAGGAATTAATCAAATATGGGATACTGCCCATAATACCAGCAGTAAGAAGGTAGGCATGTGTTTGCCGAGACCTGCGAAACTTTCCAAAGCCCTCTCTCACAGCTGTTCTCGCCAGGGGGACGCTCTCTGGTTGGCTCTGGCTGTCTGCACGCTGAGCATAAGCTGGGTGTCTAGTGGGTGTCCTTGCACACGGCCCGCTCCAGGGCAGCTCAGTGGCAGAACCTTAGAATCGGATGCCATGGAGGAGCTTGGTCATGCCAGCTCACAGCAGGCAGCATGGGGCCCGGGGCTGAATGTGTCTATTAGACGGTGTCACAGCCACACTCTGAGCGAGCCACATCCTCTGAAAGCCCAGCCTTGGCAGAGCTCCATGAGCCTACAGACGGGTGGCAGCAGGTACTTGAAAGCTACCTGCTAGTCCTCGGGGAGAAGCAAATCAAGCCACAAGGAGCTTGCACCACACGCCTGCTAGGGTGGCTATGATTATTTTAAGTGAAAGTACTGGCCGAGGTGAGTAAAAATTGCAGCCATTAGACACTGTTTGTGGGACAGTGAAATGCTGCAGATGCTACGGAAAATGGTACAGCCATTCTTCAAAGACTTACAAATTGAGTTCCCATATGACCCACCATTCAATCCTATTTCCGGGTACACATCCAGAAATTAAAATTGAGCTCTCCAAATAAACTGAAACCGGGAGCATAGCATTCCTTGGTTCATTACAGTACTTACCCTACACAGTAGATAAGATATACAAACATTGAAGGGAATGGATAAAGCAAATGTGGTATGCAGATACAAGGGAATATTATTCAGTCTTTACAAAGATCATGCTATGTGCCAGAACATGGACGAGCCCGAAGGAGATGCTAAATGCAGAAAGGCAAGTCCTCATGAGCCCACTCACATATAGTATTTAAAATAGCCAAAGCCAAACAAGCAGCGAGTAAAATGGTGTTTTCCGGGGTAGAGAGGAGGGTTCATAGAGAGTCACTGTTGATGAGCAAGTTCTGGAGATCTGCTGGACCAGACTGGACATCTGGCTGCCAATGGCGTCATACACTTACGCACGCATTCAGAGAGTAGATTTCATGTTCAGTGATCACAACTTAGTAAAAAAAAAAAAACCCTAAAAGATTGATGTGCTTATTTGCCAATTTGTCATAATCATGCAATTTTAACAGTCTCACTCAAGGAAGCTGATGTACATACACACGCTCTCCTGAGGTATTTCAAGGAGCATTTGCTCCTCTTTATGCCAACTCACACCTGGCCTAGTTTGATGTTCCTCCCTGGACACAAACACAGCCATCCTTCTGGGATCATGATAGCTTTCCTCAGCATGGATGGTCCACGTCTGGACAGAGAGAGGAAGTGCTGTTGGAAGTGTGCACAGTTTGGGGTGCATGTGAGCGTCCCACTGGGGAGCACGAATTAGGGGCTCACACCATCTCTACCTCTTCCACTGCCCTCAAGGATGTGCTTGAAGAACTGGGAAGTGGGTGTTTCACTCTTGCAGGCAGTTTCCAGGGCTATAATCACCCTATGCCCTGAACAATTTCAAACCTGGCTTCACGTCCTGTCCTTTCAGTGCTGTCCCTGCGTCACAGTTTGAACCCGCACCACCACCCCGCTGCCCCGGAGCACTGCCTCAGAGATGTGGACATGGCGTTTGTGCAGGATAGAAGAGCACATTGAATTCTGCAGAATCCATTCATATCAGGAAGGCTGATGCATTTCTAAAGTGGAAACTACAGAAAACAAAGCTTAACGCAATAGCTTTCTTTGTGACAGGGCATTTAGAACTCTGAATGGGGATGCAGGGACTTTGGGGTCAAGGATGCAAAACAAACGAGTAAATGAGCAAAGGATAGTGCTTCAGGGGTGGAATGAGGCTGGGAATGACAATAAAAATAGCAGTAATAATAACAGGAGGAGGAGGGGGAGGAGGAGGAGGAGGAACAGGAGTAGGAACAGGAGAAGAAGGGGAAGCAGAGACTTGGTAAGTTTTCCACTTACAAGGGCCCTGGGAATGTTCTCAAAATCTCAGGTGAGGCACAGAGAGTTAGGTTGCAGAGACATGAGTGGGGAGCCGAGAAAAGTCAGGGCAGACTGGACACAGGCCGTGCCCATCACCAGAGTCTGAGTTCACATAGCTCCCGGCATTTTCACACCAAAACGCTTCGTGAGAATCATCTCATGGCTTGTACCACCCTCTGATTTACCTAGGAAAGCCCAGCTCACGGGAATCCTGAAACACACTCAAGCTCAGATCCATGTTCCTCTCAAGGAATCAAAACAAGTAATTATGGGGAATTATTTTTGGTCAAATGAAATTCATGGTTTAAGTCAATGGAAGAGGACAGAAACTCTTATTCCAGGAATCCTAGCTAAATACTCCCTCACTACAGAAAAATAAAACAGAGTATAGTTACCAGTGATCAAAGACAGCAGAATCAAACGAGACACACCTGTGTTGGGCATCCTGTGCACACCCAGGGGAAGAAAGTCTGGCACTGATGGTCTCTCAGAATACGCGAATGTGCAGTGTTGATTCCTGCAACCCGCATGTGGCATGGACCACAGGGCTTCCCACTGAAGGACAGCAGGGCTCTCTGTTTCCCTAAGGATCTCTGAGAACCAGGCTCCTGCACCAGCCATGCAGCCACCAGCCCTGCATGAGACAGTGTCCTTGCACACCATGGGTGACGGGCAGGCGTTCCCCAGAGAGCACACACTTGTCAGATTCTCCTGATTCAGACAGTGGCCCCTCCAGGACTCAGTGTTCCTCCCTCGCGTTTATTGTTTGCAGAACAAAGACCACATGGGACCCTTTCAGTCAAATATGCTCAAAAGAGTTTATGTTTTCTGTGGAAGGCTTTATGGGGCCTAAAGAAAACTTTGAGGTTGTTTTCCTCTTGTTTAAATACTGCAGAGCACTGAAGAGCCACCTTTTGCTTACGTTTGTAGGTCAAGGTCTGGATTCTTGGGCACTGAATCAATCATGACATGAGGAAAAGGTGTGAAGGAGAAGCAGCTATTTCTCCACATTGGAAACCATCGACGTACAGAAGGCGCTAGTTAGATGAACCCAGAGCATACAGAAGGGATCAGTTGACCCTAGCATCATCATCTTTAAAACCTTATTATAATTTAATATACACATGAGAATTGGAGATGAAATTTTTCATTGATTAACTTACAGGGTATTTTATGTTCCCCTAGATTAAGATTTATTTACATTCTAAATCAAAATGAAAAACTATTTTTAATGGAACACAAGATCCATTTGTAATTGTTCACTAAGACCCAACAGGGTTAAACCAGAGAATGTCTCAAATGGGTAAAAACAGCCTTATGACTGCTTCTCCAGGACGGTGCAGCTGAGCTGCTGGAGCTCTGGGCTTTCTGCTCTTCCTTGCTGAGCTACATTCTGGTGTATTTATAGGAATTTTCTAGGAGGTCAGCGGGAGAGTTGACATGTGCACTATCCAGCCTTGAATGCATCCACTCCTTGGTAGAAAGTGACATGGGTGTTCTGACTAATTCCACAACACTTTTGGGAATCTTGGCTTTTAAAGGAAAATGGGGGGCAGAGCTATTTTGAGATAACTAAAAACATCCACAGAGGATGCTCCAAAGTATCTCTGAGAGAGACAGGGACTCTCAACAGGAATGAGGGCAGTGTCTGAACATCTGGAGGAATCTTCAGGCTCTGCTGATGGCAGTAAGGAATCTGGAGCCTGAGGAGGGGCAGGGAGTGGAAGGATCCTGACATTCCCAGACACCCTCCCTCCATCCAGTTTACAGCTGACTCAAATCTAGCCATATCACCCACGGGCCTCCTCCCAGCAGCCGGGGAGGAATCTTCTCACTGGGGCTGTGGGAAAGACAGGCTCGGTGACCTTTCCCAGCCTCAGCATCAGCCTGGCTGGGAAAGTTGGGTGTTCAGAGGAAGATTCCCTGAGGCTGGAGAAATTCAGGAAGAGATGCCCTAGGAGGAGTACAGCTGTAAGAGCAGGGACATCATTGCAAGCCTCAGATACAAAGCTGGGGACGTGTTATTTTCACTTTTACCCATCCATCATCTACCTGTCCATCACTGGTCCATCCATCCACCTGATCATTCATCCATCCATTCATCCATTCAACAAATCCTCGTTAAGCAACTACTGTAAGTCAGTTTCCCACTCAAGGAACTCAGAAAGTTGTGTGCACCTATGGAAAAAGATGCTAAGACCTTATGCCTTCAAAGCGTTGTACTGATGTTTGGAATGACTCCCCGCCACACACACACCACCTCCCACACACCATCCCTGCTTGTCAGTGTGACTAACTCCTGTGTTCCCCTCAGACTCAGTTCAGGAGCAACCTGGTTGGTGTCACTGTCATGATTCAAGGTCAGTAGGTCTTTGGTTGGTGTGGCCACTGCATGGTGTCACCAACTTAGCCATCAGGTTGGCATCATTCTCAGAAAGGGTCCTTCCTGACCTGGACTGCAGCACTGTGTCTTTGCATACACTCTGTGAGCAGCACAGAATGGGTCATCCAAGAGCGTGTGCTGCACAGGATGAACAAGGAAGGAGAGGAGATGAGGGCAGAGCTTGTTTCATCATCATTCAGGCTGCGCTGGGCCTGGGCTGGAAGCTGAGGCTGCAGCAGTGGTGAGTGAGACGTCCTAAGAATCTCCACCTCATAGGGTCCATCCAGACAGAAGGCAAAGGCAATACTCTGAGCGACAGATGGAGATCGGCGGCTGTGAGGTACCAGGGCCCAGAGCCTGTGCCCGTGGGAAGGGCAGTGGAACCCATGGAGGTGACAGGGCCCCACCCAGGGCAGTGCCAGGAGGAAGGCAGACACAGGGTCAGATGCTGAAGGAGGAAGGCAGAGGGACTGTAACCAGCGTCTCATCAAAAACCCTGAGCTCCTAGGTCTCATTTTAATGTCCTCATGCTTGTTCGGGATTTGGTGGCATGACAATGTGGGGAGGACACAGGACCCAGTGGTACTGGGGAGGGCTCTGTGCTCACACCACACCCCGCCACTGTGACCTGGAGGAGGATGCGGGGGCGTCTCATGGGGCCCTGGGCCCACTGGGGTCCAGAAAGCAGCTGACATGCATTTCAGGGACACCATACATCTCTCCAGACCATCAGGCACAGGGCCGAGGGCCCACAGAGCTTGCAGTGGCTCGTGGGAATGTTTTAATTTGTTTTAGAAACAAAATGGAAAGAATGAACACAATCCAGCCCGGACCATATTTATCTCTCTGCCAGTGCAATCTAGAGAGAGGAGGCCCTTGCTGGGTCCATGAAAGCCACAATCTTAGAAATCAAACTGCTTGGTGCCCTGAAGAGGGGCTGAGTGGCAAGTTTAACGCGCGATGGAGTGGCTGGATTTGGCGTCAGATGAGCGGCACAGAGTGGGGAATCGAGGACTCCTCTATCATTCTTCCTGTCCCCTCCTTTTTTCCTTTTTGGAGACGTGGTTAATCCCACAGGGACTGATGCTGCCTATGAGCGCGCCTGGGTGAATTAGAAGCCCGCCCAAGGTGCCCGACTGTCCCGCTCCTTTGCAGAGGACGACGTGCACTCACCTGGGCAGGGCAAGATGTTGCACTCCTGGTACTCCACGGACGGGCCCAGGCACGGCATCCCTCCGTACCTGGGCTCCGGGTTGTTGCACACGCGCTTCCGGTTCCGAATGCCCCTGCTGCAGTCGCGGCTGCACTGGGACCAGGACGTCCAGGCTGACCACGCGCCGTTGACTGTGTGGGCCGAGTACCGCCCTGCGCGCAGGAAGTCCCCGGAAAGCCCTGCGGAGGAAAGGCCAAGGATGACCGCGGGGCTCAGCCAGGGGCCTCGGCCTAGCCTGGCCTCTTTCCGTCACTTTATGCCTGCAATTACCTTCTCCAATCCAAGGAAACCCTTTTCACACTCCAGAAGCCAAAAACTAGTACAGCCGAGTGACAACCTGCTAGAACCTGGGCTTCTTTCCCACGGCTGCTATGCACAAAGGAAGCTCCATTTGTCAGTGTGGCGAATTCCCTACACAGTTATTCGGTCCTGTATTGGTTGTCCATTTATTTTACGTAGGAACCTCTAAAGAAAATTGACCTTTCTCACTTCCCGTAGAAATTCTACAGCAAACTGCCCTCAGGAACCACGGGTTAGTTTCAGACATTTGCTAAGCCTGCTTCTTCACGAGGGGCCGCATTAACCGCTCATGGGACACAGGCCACAGAGACACCTCTCTGCTTTAGAGAATGCATGTCCTGCATTCTCTAAACGCACCCCTGAACAACTCTGCCAATGTCTCATGTGCCTGTTAGGTTTGAGCACACTTGCTGACAACTGTTTTCCAAGAACCAATGGACCAGTGGCAATAGCAGCAGCTGGAATCCAGGGTAGGTGGGAAAATGGTCTTCCTCATATGTCAGCCCACACTCTTTGCAGACTTACTATATATTAGGTCTGCTGGGAGCAGGCAATCCCTTAAACAATCCTAGTCAAAATGTGTGTTTAATTTGATGAAAATCCCTCTCCAGTTACAATAAAAATATTCAATAATTTCCTCAGCTTTAGGCCATGGAACACAAGTTTTAACAAATGCCTCTAAGGATGTAGGGAAGTTCTGAGGACTCATAGTCAGGAGAAAACAAACATGACTGTAATTCTGCACACCCTGGAGTAACTTTGTTGTTTACTTTGAAACTCTGCCTGTGAAATGTAGGCCAGGTATTCTTCAGAGAAAATGAATTAGAAGTGCTTTTCTGTGATGAACCAGTATTTTGTGGGTAATCAATAAAGGACATCTCTGAACAATTAAGCCTCATTTTGTGTGGTCAGAGGCAAATGAGTCCAATTTTCTGTTCTGAAGATGTCAATAACAAAAGGTGAGGATGGCCATTAGGATTTAAAGCCATTAAGACACAGGAAGTTCTTTCCAAGCCATGCCCAGGATACACTTTTGGAGAAAATATAGAATGTCATTTATAAATGCATTTTAAATGTTTCCATACTTTAGATTATTAACATTTAAAACAAACATTAGCTTTGGCTTTATCTGCATCCAAGAATAGAGAAATAAAGAATATAAGTTTGAAAAAGAAAAGCTAATTTTAGAGAAACCATTGTTCATTTTTCTCCCCTTCACTTGCTGCCATGAGAAATGAGACAATTCAGTCTGCTTTGAAATTGGGGAATAAGTGAATAAATCGAAAAGAGGATTGCCAGAGTGGCAATATACTATAAGAAGATCAGTTAGATGTAAACCAGATTAACAACTAATAACACCTTAGCATAAGTGTGCCCCAAGCAATGCGCATCTCCACCTTTAAAAAATTGCATGGGGCATAGTTATCTTTAAAAAATTCATGGTACCCACTTATACCAGAAAAAATTCTGAAAGGCCTGAAATCTTTATGTGAAATCTTGTGTTTTATATCATGACGCTAACTGGAGATTGCAGGATCATCCCTTACAGAGTGCAGACCTTTAAGCTGGGCCTTTGGTCATCTTTTACCTAGAGTTTCATCCTATGTGAATTCTGCTAATGATGTTGAAATTTTACAAGATTAATAAGGAGCAACTGTCATTCTGTTGCTCATTTTTCTAGGTGGGTGGTGGTGGTTTTATTTATGTTGTATGCTTATTTTCATAAAACCCTTCATCAGTGTGACAACACTGTATTCTTTTAAGAGACAATAAGTGTGTGCGATCCTTTAACCACAGAGAGCAGCCCTCTGAGGTAGCAGGGGTGGATGCCAGTAAGGACAAAACACTGGACGAGAAAGTGCTTCTAAAGCAGAAGGTGCTTAGCAGGAGCTGCCAGCCTCCACCCGGCCAGGCAGGCCCCAGCTCCCGGGAGCCGCTTTGGGGACCTTAGATCTGTAAGAGTAGCTGGTGGTCACCATTTGGAGCTTTCCATTGCAACACAGGGAGATTTACTGGGCACAGACTCCTCTGGATCTGTGAGAAGCACAGTGCTACTTTGGGGATCAAATTCAGAGTCAACTTAATACAGTATGCTTCCTCATCACGGCTCCATGGTTTCAATCACAAGCCAAAAATATTGGTATTTGTCTTGACTTTTTGAAGAGGGAGACCACATAGCTTTTCTTATATTTTATTTTTATAGTTGTTCTATTTTATTTAGGGTTTAGTGTTGCTAATCTCTTCCTGTCTCTTGTTGTGCCTAAAGTGCAATCGCTGGGAGCCTCTGAATTATCCCCCACAGATAAAGGGCTAAATTCCTATAGTAAAGGTCTTTCCTTCAAGTTAATTCTACTCTGCAAGATCATTGCAACAAGAGCTGCTAAGCACAATTGCAAAGAAAACCGCCCTGTGTGTCTGTCTGTGACCGTCAACACAAGAGCAGGCCTCTGGATGGGAGCAGTCAGTCCCTCTGACACTGCGACTCACCATCCGTGGAGCAGCCGCTGGTTCCGTCACTAGAACAGTACCGCATTTCGATTCTCTGCCTTCCCACCTCCAGCAGGTTCGGATCTGGCAGGCGGGCTTTGCAGGTGTATCGGAATCGCTGCTCATAGTGGCCGCCATTGTCAGAGATGTTGACGGGCGTCCATGGTGTCCAGGGTGTGGTTTTCTTCAGCTCGGGACACGGGTTGGTGTTGCAAGGCTGGTACTCCTGGAGGGAAAGGCAGAGTTTCTTACCCTGTGGCATGAATCTCAGGAGGAACTCCTTTCTTTTAAAGAAAGATAAGGTTACCCAAAATGTCAAATCCTAAGATACTCAAAGCTACTCTACAAAATTAGAAACATATTTATGTGAAAATAGGCATTTTGCAGAATGGTCAGTACTCCAGTCATCTCCAAGTACAACTGGCAGTTTCTCAAGCATCAACAATGACTTTAAATCAATAAACAACATCACATGTAAAAAGAATGCTGATTCTGTGTAAAACATCTTCATTTCACTTGATAGGTAACTCAAGAAGCTGGTTATTCTGATGGTAAGTTTGGGTGTTTTCTTTAAGAGTTTAAAGTTAATAGGACAGAAGCATATTTTTCTTATCAGACTACATAATATTTGTTAAGATTCATGGATATTATAAGCCCTGGAATTATAGATTCAAAGCACTGGGGTCTCTGAGTATCCACATGGAGACACAAAACTGATACTTCAATCTGTAAGATTTCTGCACTTCCTCTATGAATACAACGTATGGTTTTCCTTCCTTTCTCTCACTCCCAGGTACCTTCCTTCCACCCAGCAATGGAAGGGTCCTGGGGAGGGGAGCAGAGAGTGGATCTGAAGGTCTGCTGAGTGGGCCAGGCTATGGGACTTGGATGGGGGCAGAACTGAGGACTAGGATGATAAAAATCTGCCTGGGACACTTGCTAATTTATTTGACAGTAACTGTGAATTCTGTAGCCTCACAGTAAGAATCACAGGGGTTAATCTTTCATGCAGTACTACATCACAAGTCTTCCATCTGACAATAAATGATGTTCTACTAGAGGGAAAACCAACAGTACATATACTTACTTGTGCCCATATTTTAACATATTTTTAATCAATGTTAGCTACACATATAAAACAAGAGTTAAATCACTCTCTAAGTTTTGTTATAAGAAAACTACTCTGTACTTTCCCTATATCTTTCAGTTGAATATTTTTGTATTTACTTTCAGAGTGCTAATGTGAATTTTCCAGTATTAGGCACTGTACATTAGCCATGCACCATGGAAAAGCAGGACTCTACCCTTTCCTGTCTGACACCCTTCCTGTGCCTGTTACATTCCTGCAGTCTTCCCATCTCCCACAGTCTTCACATAGTTACATCTTAATGTCGGTTAGATCAAATCCAGTGTTTGTACTAATCACGAGGTGAGGACCATTCATGCCAGAGGGATATGGTAAACTGTGATTCACTTCTATTCCTGTCTTGTTCGCTTCCAGTCCAACTCAAAAGTTCTCTTGTGCTGGGGATTTAGCTCAGTGGTTCCGCCATCTGCCTTGCAAGCGCAAGGACCCAAGTTCGATCCCCGGTACAAAAAAAAAAAGGCTCTCTTGTGTTTTAGGAGGTGGTTCAGTTTCTATGAACTTGTCACTCATTCACCAGATATTCTGCCAGGCAGTGACTGTACCAACTGCAGGACCGAGGTGGGGCCTGGCTGGGTCATTGGACAGAGAAAGCTGTCAGAATCTGAAGCCTTTCTTGGGGCGCTCTGCAGGGATGCCCTGGTGTCCCGCTCTGCCTGACTGTGGGGCAGAGTCTGCAGGCACCAGGGTGATGAAGGAAGGGAGAGAGCTGGGCTCTCCGTGTCTAGCTGCCAGTTATTCTGGGCATCAGCCTTTCTCAGTTCCAGCCCCCAGTGCCCTGAGGCCCAGAAACTCTTCTGTTTTCTCTCCAGAGAATAAACTTCCTGCTTTTTGACAGATAAAATAGGTCTAGGACTCTTCTTTTTTTTTTTTTTTTCCCTAGCCCTCCCTTCACCCCCTCCACCCTTCCCTATTTACAAAGACTTTATTTCCATTTTTTCTGTTTCTCATCATTTTTCCTTTCCCTTCTTTCCTTTCCCCCGCCCCTCCCACTGCCCCTACCCCTTTGGACCTTTTCTTCCTGTTGTGCATTATCGATTATTCATTCTAATCATTGGTACATTTTAGGTATACAATATAATGACATTCATCGTTGGAAATTTGCACCTTTACATAATCTCTCTTGGTTCCTATCTTTCACCCTAGGACTCTTCTTAAAGAGGAAGGTAGGTCTGCAGGTCTGATCACTTCTTAAATGCAAACTATTTTGCCACTAGCAAAGAACGTGAGGGTACTGATTCCTGAGCTCTCCGGAGTCAAGGCTATGAACTGGGATGAATCTTACCACCCATGAGCTAGGCATGGCCAAGACGTTTCTAGTTTCTGCCTAAGTAGCAACATTCGTCAGACTCCGTGTGTCGATACTGCCTGCTGTAATTTATTACAACGAGAAGCTACAAAGCTAAACCAGTGGAGAGAAAAGGCACATGTGCGCTGGTGCCCACGAAACCAAGCACCAAGAAGGTGGCTCTGGTGACACATGTGAAATCTGTCTCTGTGAGGGAAGCTCACCAGAGTCGGGGCTCAGGAGTTTCACTGGGGTCTGGCACGTTGACCTCTCTGTCTGTCATGTACCCAAATTTCAGACACCCCCGAGGGCCACAGCTGTTCAGTGAGTGCCACGCTGTTTGCACAGAGTTTGGCATAGTAAGCCTGTTGTCATCCCGGGCATGGTGAAATCTTTCCCAAAATCCAAACTTCCAGACCCCAGTCAGTGCAGACCTTGCAAACTAGTTGGTACGGTCTGGGTTGGATGCTGAGTCAGCGCTTTTCTGCAGCTCCCTTCTGCAGGTCTTGGCTTCATTCACCTTGGATATGTTTCCCAACTGCATTTAAAAAATAAAATCTAGCACTTTCTCTTTCTTTTTTTCTGTCTTTGGAGGATTATTAGAGGATTGAAAAAACAAACTTGCTAATGTTTAATTAGCAAATTTCCAGTAGAGAGAAAGGTAGCTGTCCATGTGTGCCCATACCACTAGCTTTAACCAGAAGCACAGTTGCTACTTTGTTATTGTTCTAAATATCCCTACGAGGTTTCTTTTCTTGTAATCTATCCTTTATACATGTATATTTTTTACAATGGACACTACTCAGGAGTTCTTTGTGTTTGTAACATCATAGTCTTTTATCAGGAAATATGTAAAGCATTCAGGGTCACTTCTGTACTATCTGCTCCCATTCCTCCTGGTTCATGCATCTCCACACCACCCAAACTAGAAAGACAGATGACGTCATTCTCCTCCATGGCCAGCATCTTCATTACAGCATCTTTTGGATGCTGACTCTTAAATGAAAACATAGCTCCAGCAAATGCCATGAGTCCAATCCTGTGAAAAGCCTGATGTAGCATGTGTGTGTGTGTGTGTGTGTGTGTGTGTGTGTGTCTTTCACCTGGCAAGAAGTCTGCATGGCAGGAATTCAGGAACTCTTTGCCCCAGCCCTTCTGTGCTCATAGTGAGGGCACTGTCACCCCTGGATTGAAACATTTACACCACGATCCTTGCTGTTGTCACTCCATGCCAACTTGGCCAGGCAAGTGTCCGAGGACTCACAACATATGTGGTTTATGGACTTCTGTGTAAAATGTGCAGTTTTAGGCAGCGGTAAGGTTTATCTTACTTATAAAATAGTAGGATCCAACAGTTCAGTGAACATAAAACGTACTCTCAAAAGTCGTAGTACTTCACACTGGAAGTTGCATCTTTTCTATGGAGATGAAGTTAACTCGACACCCGTGAGTGGTAAATATTCTTGGGGGCTGGCTCCTATGTCTAGCTGGCATCTCTGAGCTGGTCTGGGCAGGAGAGGACACCACAGGCCCCAGTGGTGGGCACAGCTCCTGGCTCCTCAGACCTAAGCCTCCAATATCTACATCTGCTCTTTGGTTTTTATTTTCTCATAGAACAGATTTTAACCTGAGACTTGAGACTTCTTCCAAATGGTTTTTGAGGTTTGATTATGATGCAACCACTTGAAGTATCGAATCATAAAGGGTTGGGAAATGATAAGGTCAATCTCTTTCCTATTAATACAGTAACCAAAATGATGAAGTGATTCAATTCACTTGTGATAGCTTAGATGGATTAACTGAATCCGTATGCTACAATTTACTGGTTTACTGATGCTATAACTATCCAAGTTTGAATGGAACTAAAATACCATTATTTTTCATACTGAAGAAAAATGGCTTTTAAAAACTATTCTAGGGAGCTAATTGCTCTTATTTGCCACTTAGGATTCTTAACGGTCTGGTACAAATTATAAGATAAGAATGGTTACTAAAGCAATTTTAAACAATTCCTCCTAATATGTACCCCCATGAATTCCCTATCCCAGGCGACAGTGACAAACCTTCCATTTAAAAATTAATCCAGAACCTGTGAGTCTCTGGGCTGGTTCTCCCTCACTTCAATGCCAAGCCCCATAGACGAAGCCTCCTGTGTTCATGCTCTTCTCTCCACTCTATTCGCCTCGTTTGCTTTGCAGGCCACCACCACTGCAGGCCTGTTTTATAGACTCAAAGCATGTAGACACGCCCTACTGAGGTCCCGAGTCATGGGGAAGATGCCGAATCACCCCGCTGCAGACAGGCAGGTCTGTGCATGCCCTACCGAGGTCCCAAGTCGCGTGGAACACACCGAATCAGCCTGCGCCCCGGCAACAATCCACTGGACCCCATCCCCCGCTCGTCTGTACAGCCACCTGGTTCCACACTACAAAGACGCAGAGGACACCGGACCAACAGACCACAGTACTGAGTCCCGATGCTCCCGGCCCAGAGGTAGGGGCTTCTGAGCCACCGTCCCACTGCTCCTGGTCCAGAGGAGGGGGCTGCCCGGTCACCATCCCTCCTGCTGCTCCCAGCCAGAGGAAAGGGCTTTTGGGCCACCTTCTGTCTTGCTGCTCCTGGCCCAGAGGAAGGGGCTTCTGGGTCACCATCCCTCCCACCACTCCCGGCCCAGAGGTAGGGGCTTCTGAGCCACCATCCCACTGCTCCTGGTCCAGAGGAAGGGGCTTCCTGGCTACCTTCCCTCCCGCTGCTCCCAGCCCACAGGAAAGGGCTTTTGGGCCACCATCCCTAC